GATGGACGATGGCTCGCTTAGCCAAACAAACGAAAATCAATTAGTGTCAGTTTCCCTTCTGCGCATTGTTATGTTTCGCGCCGTTTGTTTAAGCGAGTGGCTGACACTTTTTCATACACATCTTGCACGGGTCCCATTTCTGTTTAACTAAGATGTCAATGTGGCTTGATTTGCTCGAAGATCAACTCCAGCCCAGCTGAGCTGAACGCCTGACGTTCCCTAGCAGAGTATATGTAGCATGTCACCATTTGGCACCTCCAAATTCAAGGAGTAAAAAAAAATGAGGGGGTGAGGAAGAGGAGAAAAGTCAGGGGCAACCTGAGCTTTTTTTTGGCACAATGGCTGCTGCAAATTCAGAGGCTATTGACTTGATCTGCAAGAAATATCTCCCTTAAGTGAGTAAGATAACAGTCCAGCAGATGGAGTTAGCCACGGCCAATGAGCCAAATTCTTTCTGCCGAAGTGCACAACTGAATGCAAAAGAAGATTGCAAAGTGAAAGGAGAGAAAGAACTGGGTCACTTGTGAAGACATCTCCACCACTACTGGGCAATTATGAACTTGTCACTGGGGAACTGTGTCAGGGATGCAATTTTATTTCCTTGACCCTCCAATGCCCAGAATTGAACTACTGTAGCAGTAGTCTGCAGAAAGGTTGTGATTTTCTTTTGATTGGATAGAGATACCACCTTATTCCAGTCCTTTCCAGGGATGACTCACACCCTGGATGGCATTTCTTTACCCTCTTCCATCGGGAAGGAGATATTAGAAGGATAGCCAGCCGCACAGACAGCTGAAGAACGGTTTCTATCCGTGGGCTGTCAGAGACCTGAATGGGAAGTAACATCATAACTACATAGTACGAGGGACATGCAGAGCCGGCGCAATGTGGAACATGTTCACACTGGTGTAATAGGACTGGGTTTTTTTTTTAATATGATTTATTGGGTTAGGGATTTTCTGCCTTCACTGTACATATGCTGTGCGCTGAAAAATAAATAATTCCAATTCTAACATTGTCCAATATCACAGACACAAAAACTGGATTCAGATATTAATGTGGTGATTTTCCTTATTTTCACAATGCTGTGATTTTCATTATTTGTACAAAGTCCTGGTATAATGGATAAATTGTCCCATTCCAGATTACAAAGACATACAGTACAGTGTTGTGCTATACTTGCCTTGTTTTGCTCATCTTCCTTAGTTTACACGAGAGGAAATCATGCTGATTTTAGACAAGAACTGACTTTTCTGATAGGTCAGAGCAAGTGGCAAACCTGGGGGCTTCCAGGTCACCTCTAACTTCAATTTCACGTTGACGTGGTGACATTTAAGTAGTGAGAAACAAGCTCAAATAGAGCTCACATACTTTTAACAACAAAAGAAAACCTCTCTCTACAACAGCAGAATTTTTTCCCCCTGCCCTCTCCATTCGTATCGTATGACCACAAACATTTGCCTGTCTTGATTGGTACAATTATGGTGGTGATACAAGGGGACATACAAACCAGGGATGAAATCAACTTACCTTTGCTACCAGTTCAGTAGCAATGTGAGCACACACATGCCACCTCTGTATATGCACAGGACCTTCCGCATATGTGCATAGTGTCAAAAATGGACGTGATGACGTCCGGGTAGGTGGGCAGAGCCTGATACCAAGTGTGCTTACAAAGGTAAGCAAACCACAAGGGGGGAATCCACTGTGCCACAGAATTTAGATTAGCTAGAAAGCAGGGAATCCTTCTTTCTAGCTAATATAAATCACACTTTACAACTGATTGTTGAAAATACTGGTTTGGATGAACCAGTAGCATTTTTTTCTACTTAGGTGAACCAGTCTGAACCGGAAGCATTTCATCCATGGTACAAACACTGAGCTTGTTACTCTAAGCCATAGTGCAGATGGATTTGGGCTTAATACAGTGTGGAAGCCAGTCATTTCAATTTGCAAATCATAATTTAGGACCTCACACCAACCATAAACATAGTCTATTCAACACATCATGTTTTATTAAGGATGTGTGAATTTAGATAGTTTTATAAATCATGGTTTATAGTTTAGCATCACATGTAAAGTAGGCTGCTATGGCTTATTTAACAAATCCATGGTCTGGCCTATGGAATGCAACCAACTCTCCAAGTAATTTTCCTTTGGTTTGTCGCAGGGCTCAGGAAAGAGCAAAGAAGCTCAGATTAACATGCACTTCTCGGTTGGTACTGGATTGCAACCCGGGGGTTGGGGATCCCGGCTCTAAAGGAAGCCCTGTGGCTCATTTCCAAACATATAAGATGTGAGATCATGAGACCAAACATGATTGACAGAGAGAAAGAGGGAGAGAAAGGAGGATGTCTGCTCGGACTGAGTTTAGAACAATAGAAACTGGGTCACTCAATCAATCAATCAGAATAGAGCTGGAAGGGACCTTGGAGGTCTTCTAGTTCAACCCCCTGCTCAAGCAGGAGACCCTATACCATTTCAGACAAGTGGCTGTCCAGTCTCTCCTTTAAAACCTCCAATGATGAAGCATATGGCAGAAACGTATAGCTGCAGTTTGCCAATCTTGCTAGGCATAGAATGCAATATAGGTAAAGAAGGAATCCATCCATATGGAAGGGTCTACACTCCTGGTCCCACATGATGAGGACTAGGTCCTGGACTGGAGACCAAGCAAGTGGTAAAGAATAGGAACTGAGTCAGCTGTGATCCTTGGGATTGGTTTTGAGTGCCTGCCTTTGGCTTGTCCTGTTCAAGCATTGTCAGTCTTCTCAAGTAAACAAGGTAGGGAGCCTGACAAGATGAATTCATTCTACTTGATTATGAGGCTATAAGGGTTCCAAATAGCATCCTTAATAAAATAAGAGTTTGAGGCTAGAGACTTCTCAAAACTCCAATTTATTAGAAAAGCCATGTTGGTTTTTACCAACCATGGCATTAACAAAATCTCGGAAGCCTGAAAGTGCATACTTCCTGCTGCCACTTTTAACTGCTTTATACACTAGGGTGGATCTCTTCCTAAGTTTCTTTCTCTGACTTCTAAGCCACTGGGGGCTCCTGCCTCTCTTCTCCGGTTGTTTCCTAGGCAGCTTCTCTTTCCTTCATTCCCCAAGGTCATCCACCCAGTCCTTTACAAGCACAGAGCCATTTATTTCTTTATTTCTGTTCAAGAGACACAAAACTTCAACTTTCCTAAATATGGTTGTGGGCTGCCAAAAATGACTCAGAGGTCCATGAGAGTAGGCCCTGATATCAAATAAATTATACCAGTGTTTTCTACTTTATTAAAAAGTAGATAATTGGCCAAAATAAAATGGTGGGGGAAATAATTACGATTTGCAATAACTATTTTTGTTTACATATGGTATTTTTTCCGGGTATATTTTTTTTAATTTGCCGAAACTGTTATACTACTATATGAAAAAGCTTTGATGTTGTGGCCCTCTGACTACTGAACTGGCCCTCCTATGTGACAAAATGAAGTTCAAGTTAGTATGATGGTTGAATATGAACAAAGAATCATGAAAGATTAAAAAATTAAGAATTAGAAAGGTTTAATGATAAACAATGATAACTAGTCATAATAATACTATACAGTATGTCCAGAAGATAACAAGTATAGTAAAGGGTCAGTTCTGATTAGAAAAGCCTGAAATGAGGGATGATTAAAAAGAAATTTGGAAGTCATCTTCAGACATTTAAAAGTTTGTTGCAAAAATGATGAACTTCATTTGATTTATGCTGAGCCATGGTATCCTTCCCAAGATGATATTTCCATAACTTTCCACATTTCCAGACAGAAAGCCCATCTACATCTTTGTCTTAGCCACTCCTTGACAAAGCTGTAGTTTTCTGATATGTACTTAACCAGAACCATCACTTTCAAATTAGAAAACAAGATGCTATAAATTGAGAGAATTTCCTGATGGGGTAAAGTTTTTGGCATGACTCAAATTGCCTTGGACATTTGGTATATTGCATGCATAGGCTTGATGATGCCTTCTAGAGATTGCAGCTACACATTTCCTTTATCAATAAAATGATGGACCCTATAACTTGGGAATCCTTAAAGATAGATTTCAGGAAAATCAAGCTTTTCAAAGGGTAGTTCTAGCGAAAACCTAGTGTTGGATATACAGTGGTACACAAGTTGGTACTCAACTGCTTTGAACCTCATAGAACTTATCGATTGTTTGGTAGTGGATGTACAAGCTAGAAGTCTGTGTCAGTTGCCTTGTGACTCACAACATTACTCCTTATGGGAAAAATGTGTTTGATGCTCATTTTTGAAACTCATCGCACCTCCCAGAACCAATCAATGATGAGTACTGAGGTACCACTGTAGATCTGAAGTTGACATACAAATATGTCCACCAATCAATATTTCTACACTATTCTTTATGTCCCTAAAATGTCATGCATTCCAGTCAAACATAAAAATAGTGTCCACTAAGAACATTTGTTTGAATGTATGCCCATCGCTCTCATGACCAGGAGGACTAATAAGGCACTTTTGATAAGAAAGAAGGAAAGAAATGTATTCAAATGTCCTCTCAAAGGACATCCTTGGAACAACTTAGGATGTGCGAAAAACAAATATAGAAATGTGCAACTTGTCCTATTTTGGCATTTGGGAGGACTTGGCAAGTGACTAGCCAAAAATAGTCCACAAGGGCAGGAGAGAAACTCAATTCAATTTGATTTTACTGATCTTAAAAATGTATTCAAATTAATCACAATTAAACTGATTATTTTCTAGTTATATTTGTAAACAATTTTTCCTTCCTACCTCTTGATAAAAATTACAACTTGGCATCAGGTTTTGGAAGACTTTTGGAAAAACTTTATCCTGGAGGAATCCAGGTGTGTAAAAACATTGGGATGGGTGTTTGTGGTTAAAACTCATGCCACCAGACATATTATTTTGCATTCTTTTGAAGATAGCCTATCTTGGATGACTTCTTCCACCATCATCCTGAAGATCAGTAAAGTAAACTTACCTTCTGAAGGATCAAGTCTCCTTGCTCTTCGCCCATGTTTTGAGTTGTTGTGAACAAACATATTGTCTGATACTGCCAGGACATGCCCATCAACATTCACTGTTGTTGATAACACAACCTGGATATAAAGAAAAAAGCAAAAAAGAGAAAGGCAGATAAATTACCTCTCCATGATCCATGTTTCATTACCTAGCCAAGTTTAAGTCACACTGTTTTGTTTTGTAAAAGTAAATCCAGTCCTTATAGGGATTAACCTATTAAATGGGATGAAAAATAGCTTTTCTATCTTGATTGCCATAGTAGCAGCAATATGTACTTGCCCAAGATGAAATGAATCAACAGTTTGATTTTGACAGCTGAATTGATTCAGTGTGGATTGTCCATTCAAACAACCAAATAAATGTGATTTGATCTAGTTTGTCAGTTAAAAATAAGGTCTGTAAAAGTCCAACTTCATCACCAAATCCATTTGAAACAGACCTGATTTAATTCAATATGCCAGACCAGTTTTAGTACAAAGAGATGAGTTGATTTATAAACCAAATATTCAAACTGAATCTTCATCTAAAACAACTAAGCCCGTATTAAAATCACATCCTAAGGACATTAATGACATTGTCATGCTTTGATGCAACAGATTGTAGTAGCTGTTCCTACGTTTCTTATCAGACAATGTCTCCGACTTTCTTTTGAAAAGCTGTGAATAGGTAGAAAGGGAAGATCCCAGTGTGAGGCAGTGTTAAAGACAGTCAAATAGTATCAGGCATACTCATATTCAAATCACCCTCAGCCTGCAAGAGCAGAGTTGGTGTTTATGGGGAAAATAAGAGAAAGGATTTCTCTATCTGTCACTATGAGCTCCTGGTGGAAAGATGGTACACAAACATAACAAATGCATGAGGTCTCATGTGCATCTAAGGTACATGCCAATCATTTTACCCCAAACGTTCAGATGAAATGGTGATAAAATGTTGACTGAATTAAATAAATGGTCACCCTTCTCTAGTCTCCAGTAATTCAAATGAGTCTTCCTGGAACAAATTTATTGAACATTACCATACATTATCTATGTCTTGTCTGAGATGAAGCTTATGGAATTTTGGAACTGTCCTTCCCAATGATATATTTCTGCCGCCACCACTATCTTTAAGGATTGAACAAAACCATCCATTCTTCTTTGCTTTCTTTCTCCTCCTCCTCATCCTCCTTAGATGGATATGGTCATTTCTTTATTCAAAGTTGCTTCCCTAACTGGCTTCTAAAAACAATTCCATTCAAAGGAAGAGGAATGGAGATAGCCAAAAGGAAAACAGCCCTTGTGTTATAAAGCTGTAATGGTTTGTGGATCTGATCATAACATTCTTCTGTTAAAGACAGAATATAAACCGCTCAAAGACAGGAAGAAGCCAAGGCACTGATCTCACTGCTGGGCTAACACGGTAGTTACATTTCCTGTCTTTCCCACTCCTGCTGTCTGATGGAGCAGGTTTAAAATTGCAAGTTAAGGGGGAAGGCAGGGTTTGATGAATTAGCTTCTCAACAGAGCAGGAACTGTCCCTGATTTCCCAAAGGTGCTTTTTCAAAAGGCAATGGGACTTTGATTTTTCCTTGAAAGCCTTTTGCTTCTCCTCCAGGAAGCTTCTTCGGCTCTCTTGGATGAGAAGCGAAACGTTTTCAAGGGAAAACAAAGTCCCATTTCCTTTTGAAAAAGCACCTTTTGGAACAACCTGGAAGAATCTCCATAGACATTTGTCCCTGGTTTTATTCTCTTATTTTGCTGACACCTGGTGGAATGACTGAAGAAAGTATGTCAATGGTTTTCTTGCCCAAAGTTTTATCCTTCCTTTGTGTTTGATTGAGTGATTTGTTTTCTTATTCTTGTGCTCTTTTCTAATCACACTAAATAAAGTGCTTTGAATAAAATAATCAATATTTTTTTGTGTTTGAGACAAAGGATTGCTTCTTTTAAAAATCTGAAAGATGAAGATGATTTTAGCATTGGTGATGTGACTGTGTGTTTCTCCACACTTCTAGTCCCACCTTAGTGGACTGGCTAACTTTGGGTGAGCCATTCTCTTTCCGTTCATGATGTCAAACTCTGGTGACAAGCTACTTCGTCATTTCCTGTTGCAATAAAATGGACCAAAATTTGGTTGATTAAAAAAAAGTGGATCCTGAGCTTGCATGAATTTGCTAGGAAGGTGGGGGGAGATAAACTGCCATACTGGGAAATATGCAGGAAAAAAAATATTTCCACAAAAGTGTCCTGCATACAAAATAATAATAATAATAATATCATGGCTAGAAAGTGGGAGGCTGTGAGGAAGGAAGGAAGGAAGGAAGGAAGGAAGGAAGGAAGGAAGGAAGGAAGGAAGTGTCCAAGCTGGTGCCCATCATTATATCTTCCTGTAGTGAGTTCCACAGGCTAATTGCTTCCTTTTAATCTCTGTCTTCCATCATTCATCTCCCCTTAATCTGACCTGAATATCCTCTCATTCAGAAACACTGGTTGTTTCTAGGTGTCTAATTGAAGCATCTTGTGTGTAACCCATCATAGAATATTAAAGAGACAAAAAGAGGCATGAGGGAGTCAACACTTGTAAAGGAAAGAAGACAGGTGGTTAAGAAAATATGAAATATAAATAAATAAAACTTGTAGCCTGCTTTGACAACATATGAATATCCTAGAAATAAAACAAAAACTCAATTTCCAAGTTAAGAGCAGGCAAGACAAAACTGCAAAAACCAGAAAGCTGGATGGATAAAGAAAATATTGGAAACATCCTCAGATTCAGGGAAACAACTTGCACATTATAGTTGTGAGCTTTAGTTCATGTTTGTGACAACAGAGGGAGGAAAAAGTAGGACTTGAGTCTAGGAGCGAATGACAGAGATAAAAGAATAAGAACTTCACAAGGTGCAAGGAAGATTGCCTTAATCCTAGATATCCCATTGTAAAAGAGTCTTCAACAGCTGATAAATTATTTCCTTTCCTTTCTCCTCCTTTTCTTTGGAGGGAGAAGAGATGAGGGCAGGAAAACAGCTTTTCCTTTCTAGACCATTTTTGTGCTGACTGAACAAATGCATACTCTTTCCTGCTCTCTCTCTCTCCTCAATAGGAGTTTAATTCATTCCAAAAGGCACTTGTCATACTTTACATTAAGGGTGCCTTTGCATTCCTGCCCCAAAACGTGTTGCTTTTGTGTGCCAAAAAGGTTTCGTCATTTGACAGTCTAGGTGGAGTTGGGACCTTGTTCCAAAGTGAACAGTTCCCCCATGATACGTGAGAGCTCCAGCAGATGCAGTTCATTATTTTCCCTTAAACAATGGAAATAAATTTTAATCTCTTGCTGGCCAGCCCAGGCCACACTACGGCAACCAGGGAATAAGGCTGAATTATTCCAGTGTCTGAAATATTTACGAGAGGATTTTAAATTGTAACCAAATGTAAACTGAAGAGTGGGTTGTTGCACCTTCATATAACAGACACAAATCTAACCGCCAACAGGCAAACCACTGCCTTCTAAACTTCCATAGGGATTGAGATAAATAGCCAATCACGTAACATGCTAATATATTTTACATCCAGATTAAAAATGTGTACACTGCAAAGTTTAATTCATAAGAAGCAGAGGAGGAGGGAATTCAGAAATCTCAATGATTTGGCATCAAGGAAGATATAATGGGAGGCATATTTCATATCTTATCTTAGGTAGAATTTAATTTCCAGTATGGAAGATAGGTTTAGTAGATGTCCTAATTCTTCAGGTTATATTAAGGAAGGATTTCCTTCCCCAGTCTGGAAGTCACATTTAATCCAGAACATAGCACGATAAATATTTATGTATTAAACTATTTATTATGGCTGCCCAACTCACACATGGTGACTATGATGTAGGCAGGACTAAGGTCCAAACCCAGTGAGAGGGAGTAAGATCCAATAAAATTCACTCCTTTATTTGGTGTTACCTAATGGACAGACTCTTGCCAAACTAAAGTCACAACTTTCTAACCTACTAGATATATCCTGAGAGATTCTAAGGTCCAGTTACCCTAAACCAGGAGTGGGCTGCTATGGATTCGCCCAGGTTCAGGAGAACCCATATCTAACATTATGGCCGGTACAGAAAACCTCCAAATACCATCCCTGGCTGGTCCTGCCCTGCCCCTCCCAGGAGTCTCCACATGGTATGTTTTTATGTGAGGTAAGTGCAGGGCCACGCAGAGGCTCTTTTAGGGGGGAAAATGGGCCTCCTGAAAATTCTGGAAGGCTGGAAACAGGCTCGTTTCTGGCCTCTGGAGGACCTCTGGAGCCTGGGGGAGACAGTTTTCACCCTCCCAGAGAATTGAGGAAAGCCTCCGGAGCCTGGGGAATGTGAAAACGTCCCCCCCTCCAGTGCAGGAGGCCAACTAGGCCACACCCACCATGACCTTACCCAACCAGCAACCTGGCAGAGAACCCATTGCTGAAATTTTTGAAGCCCACTTCTGCCCTCAACTGCTTCCCCTCTCCATCATCCAGTTCTGGACTGCCCCAGTCTCTTAATCTGGATCTTTTTCTGGGAAGGCTCTGGACCTCTTTCTGAAGGTCCAGCAAAATACTCCCTCTCCTGGCAGGTGCAGGAAATCAGGAATCAGGGTAAAAGTGTACTCCATGCAACCTATACTTGAGAATCTGATCTACTAATGGTCAAAGCTAATGGGTGCCAGATAAGAGTCAACAGACTTTAAGGGGAGCTGGACTTAGGTCTCTTTTTGTGGTGCATGAACTTGAGACTTAGGATGCATTGGACCAACCTGGTCATCTCCTACATCTCCTCTGCTGCAGCAGGTGCTTATTCCATTACAGCTATTCAGTATCTGTTGTTTAAGGGATGTTCTGGTTATTAGTCTGCTGCTGGACACAGTTCAAAATATTGATGATGACACTTAAATTCTGAAGAATGTAGTCTCCAGATACTTTGGCAATGGCCTTCTCAAACAGGCTGCTCATTCTTTTAAGATCTGATTAGCATTCCCTACTCCGTGTCTCAAGAGTGGTGGAGGAAGAACCTTCTTGAGATCTGCATGGTGATAATCCATGCCATGATGGATCATCTAGGATGGCTCTTTGCCATC